TAGTCAACTAAAATACAACTCCTATTATTTAGGGTCCTCCAAAATAAAATCACATGTTTATTTTAAAATGATACTCCCCCCGTGTTTATAACTTTACCAACTTTCCTTTTTTGGATGTCCCCATTAAATTTTTCACTTTCCCTAAAGAATTTGTGGTTCCAGTTCATTCTCCCTCTTCTGCACAAACCTCAACCACACAGTTTTTACTTTATTATTCTCCGTGCCAGTCAAACTTGACAAAGTTATTAGGACGGTGATGGATAGTCTACCCGAGGGTATGTTTATCCGAGGGGTTATTGCGGGAAATAACTAGAGAGAAGTCAGAGCATAAATAAGAGAGAGAGAGAGTGTATTGCTGAGAAAGTAGTGAGCGTATTTTGCTTGGGTTACAAATGGGGAAAGGGGCACTATTTATAGTAGTAATGAATGCTGGATAGGGACACGTGTCAAGCATCCCGTGGCCGAGGGGTCACATCAACTGGTTGGCGCTGACAGTCGCATGTGGCCGCATTTAATGCGGCTGCTGGATGTGACGTCGTACTTGGTACGGCGATTCAGGCGCATGTGGAGAGGATATCGTGTCGAGAAAGGTGCCCTCGGCTGCAGATGATTAGCCGAGGGTTCTGAGTACCGGGGACCCCCTTGGTGCCGAGGGCTCTGGGTACCGAGGGCTACTGATTTTCGTCGTTTTCTCCCAGTAACTTTGTTTGCTTGAGTTGGCCGTCCTGTGAGAATTTGGAGCCTTCGTCCCTAGCGTTGTTCGGACCACCATCTTCCTCGCTCACACCTCCACCATTCCCGTCCTCCGTCGCAGCTCCATCTTCTTCATTCATAGCTCCCCCATTTTCGACGTGCAGAGCTTCTGCGTTTCTTCCATTTCCGTTGTCTGTCGTCAGTCGCAGGTAGGTGTCTTCCAAACCTCCTTCGTTTCCTGTTACTTGTCCATCCACCATGAAGTATGCTAGAAAATCATCGTGGGAAGAAAAACGGGAAGAAGAGAACGAACAGAGAGGGATGGAAAGAAACATGTGTGGAGAATGTGGAGGGGAGGGCTGTGCGATAGGAGGGTAAAGAAAGGAGTAAAAATTTGGCCCTTATATATGGTGTACCCCAGGGTGTACTCCATGACTTATTGCTTTTATTTTAGCTTCAGTGGATTTGGTTTGGAAATTTATTTGATAGGCATAAATGTCTATCAAATCAGATTGCTTTATATGAGGTGACTGATGTTATGCCTATTCCCAGAGCTCACAATCGGATCTGTCATAAATATCTAGATGTTTTTTCCCCATAAATATCTAGATGTTACCTAAATGGGAGTAAATAAATCTTTAATTGCAAAAATAGGATTAAAGTTTAAAAACCCCCAAAATAGGAGTTATTACTCCCTCCGGTTCTTATTAAAGTTCCCACTTTCCTTTTTGGGATGTCCCTTATTTAAGTTCACACTTCCATTTTAGGAAACAAAACAGTGCAAAACAGTGCCAAACAGTACCAAACAGTGTCCAAACAGTGCCAAACAGTGCTAAACAGTGCACTCCACAGTAAAGTCAAATCCATTTTCTTAATATGTGTGAAGTCAAACTGGGAACTTAAATAAGAACCGGAGGGAGTATTTGTAATTGGACAAAAACACTCCTGAAGCTTGAAAGTCATATTGCCGCCGACCAGAATGCCGGACCACCGCCGCTCCACCGGTCACTGCCGGTTGTCACCGGTCGCCGGACGTCTCCGCCACCTCAAAATCGGTTGTCGTTGTAGATCTTACCGCCGCCTATGTAGATATGGTTGCCGCCACTGCAAATATGGCGGCCGCCGCCGAAGATTTGGTCAGATCTAACCTCCGTTGGCCGCTGCCCTTGTAGATTCAACCACCGTCGCAGCTAATCCAAAATCTGCCACCGCAAATCTGGCCTTTATCATTTAAGATCTGGCGGTTCCCGACACGAATGCCAACATTTTTATCAAAATGCCAACATGAATCATGAATGCCATTTTAATGGCATTTTCAAAGAAAAATACAACATTTTTGTAGAATAAGAATGTCATTTTGATGGCATTTTCAGAATTGAACTTGACATTTTTTACCAATCAAAGAAGAAATGCCACTGCAACGAAATAGAAGAGGGAGAGAACTAGAGAGGACGGGAGGAAGGACGGGGAGAACAACCAAAGAAGAGAACATACCTTCGAAGAAAAGAAGATCTCCAACGGCGACGGCGGCGACGGCGGCGGACTTCACGTCAGCAGCGGCGGAGGACCTCACGTCAGCGGCGACGGGCTCGAAGGTTTGGTTGTTCCACTGTAAAGGGGGAGGGAGAAGAAGCTGTGTGCAGCGTAGGGGGGAGAAGATGCGCAGGGGGAGAAGAAAGAAGCGCATGGGGGAAGAAAAGTTGGGAAAGAGTTGAAAGAGAAAGAAAAAGGGTAAATGAGTAATCCAGTCCTATTTAGGGGATAAAATATGTTTAGTCCTATTTAAAAATTTCAGGAAGAATTTAGTCTCATTTAGGACAATAAATCATTTTATTATATAAGCCGATCCCTTGTATTCAAAAACAAAAAAATAACAAAAATGCTTTGCGTACATTTTTGTGTACACATTTTTAGGGGTGATTTCCCAAAATACGGGAAAGGTTAACATGGGATGCCAATTTGCGGGGATAAAATTAGGTTTTCCCAAATTGCGGGAGTCGGAATTCGTTCTTCCTACTAGGAGAAGGCTTTTGCGAGAGTACTATTGATCCACCCAGTCGGAATTCCTTAATCCGACAGCGTTATTTTATTTTTATTTTTTATTAATTCCTCACACCCGCCCAGTCGGAATTCCTCTATGAGACCACTTTTGTTTTTTGAGTTTAATCATTTGTTTATTTGTATTGCACCGTTATGTTTATAATTTATTTGTAAGCTTAAGTTTACTTATTTGTATTTTAAGGTTAACTTTATTGTTTTATTATTTATTTGTAGTATAGTTAAGTTTATTATTTATATGTAGCATTACTCAAAATAGGACTAAAACAGTTTGAATATTCCAAAATAGGGCTGTCATATTTTTATTCCCAAAATAGGACTAATTACTGCCATGTTTTGGCAGTACCAGACTTCAAACATAGCAGTATTTTCTAAACATGGCAATAATTAGTCCCATTTTGGGAATAAAAAACATGGCAGTCCTATTTTGGAATTTTGAAACTGTTTTAGTCCTATTTCGGGAACTTTCCCTTTTTTTAATATCAAAATAATATTAGTTACTTTATTTTATTTACTAATCTATCCGTATTGTGAATTAAATTCATAAAATGAAAATCCCCCCACCCACAGACACGATGTACAAATTTTCATCTTCGTCTTCGTTCAACGGTAGGTTAGGTGCTCGGCCCTGATATGTCCCCGCCGCCAGTGTTCCAAACCCCCGTTGTGTCTTCATGGTAAAATGACAAATCCGTAAATGTGAGAAAATATAACCGTTGTGATTCAACTCCCGTTGTGATTCACATTTTTTAGACTCGGATCATAAAACCCCAATTCGACCTAGTAAAAATACAATCTTCTGAAATGCAATTAGCCTATATCATGAACACGAGTTGTAAAATTGATAATGATTTACTTAATATATAGATGGAATTTTAATATTCATACTTGTGATTCACATTTTTTAGATCCGGATCATAAAAACCCCAATTCGACTCAGTAAGGATACAATCTTCTGAAATGCAATTAGCCTATATCATGCATACGAGTTGTAAAATTGACAATGATTTACTTAATATATAGATGGATTTTTAATATTCACACTTGTGATTCACATTTTTAGACCCGGATCACAAAACCCTAATTCGACCCAGTAAGGACATAATCATCCGAAGGTTATGCCATCAGCCTATATCGTGAACACGAGTTATGAAATTGATCACGAGTTACTTAATATATAGATGGAATTTTAATATTCACACTTGTGATTCACGTTTTTTAGACCCGGATCATAAAAACCCCAATTCGACCCAGTAAGGACATAATCATCCGATGTTTATGCAATCAGCCTATATCATGAACACGAGTTGTGAAATTGACCACGAGTTTCTTAATATATAGATGGAATTTTAATATTCACACTTTTGATTCACATTTTAAGACCCGGATCATAAAAAATCCAATTCGACCTAGTAAGGATACAATCATGTGAAATGTAATCGGCCTATATCATGAACACGAGTTGTAAAATTGACAAGGAGTTTTAATATTCGCACGGGTGTACAAAATCAAATTTGTATTTCATTTTATGAATTTAATTCACAATACGGATGGATTAATAAATAAAATAAAGTAACCAATATTTTGATATTAAAAAATCAAACTCCATACTATTCATTTTAAAATATAAATTCGAAATCCCTAAATTCGAATTTTAACTCAAATTATAAATTCCTAATTTCGAAATTTGTATTATAATAATTAATTAACACAAAAATAATAAGGGTATGATGCATAGTAAGTAATCTGATGCTTCGATATAATTGGAATATTTGATGGAGAACACAAATCCTTTCAATTCCCTATTGTGTGTTTGTGTAAAAAAATTGTATACAATCCAATTTATATAATTAAATGAAAATGGGATCTATTTATTAAAAAAAAGAATTACTCCTGTCGGATTTGCTAGTTCCCACTATAGGGAGTATGTTTGTATTGTAATGGGATTTTACCATTCCTTTATTATACTAAAATAAAGGAAAACAATAAAAATTAATTAGAAATACCCTAGTCGGATTCTCCAATTCCGACTAGGTGTTTATTTTGTTTATTTCGAGCTCCTTCTCCCGTCGGAAGAGGTAAATCCGACTCCCGTATTTTGGTAACCTAATTGCAACTCCCGCTTTTTGGATTGTCAGACAAAAAAGTCCCGTTTTTTGGTAAATTCCTCCATTTTTAGATCATTTTGTAGGTTTTGTCCGTACACACAAAAAGCCCACATAGACATATCAAAAAGCTCGTACGCAAAAAAAAAATTGTACATCAGGTCCAGCTGAAAAAATAAAGTCTCTGGTTCTGTAGATATGCTCCAATTCGGAGACGGAAAGTTCGGGTTTTGGTTTAACTGCAAAGCAAAAATGAATTGGAACTGCTGGTAATAGCTGGCTGACAACCCGAAACGGAAAAGATTTCCAGTTTACTTGCTGTTATGTAGACGAATAATGCTCAAAGCTATTCAAATCCTTGGTTCATCTTCTTCTGGGATTTTCCTGTATACAATAAGGAATTGCAGTCTCTCTCCCATTCCAACTACATCCATTCCCTCACCTTCGAAATCACCTTTACCGGGTCTTGTATTACGCTATCGTAAGGGTCATAGAGGCTTGGGAATGTACTCAGCTCACCGTGGATCGAACCCAGACGGTTTATCTTCTTCATCTCTATATGGCGGGGCAGCTTCATATTCTTCTGCTCCCTTTGCGGCGGTTCAGCCTACTGTGAGTTCCTATTTAACTTGTATTTGTTTTTTCTGATCTGTAAAGCTATAATTGAAGTTTATGATTTACAACACTTTTCCTGTCATGTCGTAGTATATTTTGTTGAACATATGCTTTTTATAGCTGTACAACCACGTCAGTTGGGATTTAGTTTGATAGTTGATCATAGTGGTTTCAGGTTAGTGTCTTGCACCACTGTGTTTCTTGGTTGCACAGTCATAGAGTAATAATCATAATAGTGCAATGAGAATGAAACATTTTAGGGAAGTTGTTTAAAGTTTTAATGGGGTCTTTTTGAAGAGGATTTTAAGAGTTCTGGGGAGTCTTGAGAGAAATTTCTTTATATTTTGGTATATATTTGACATTTAGAAGTGCTACTGTTTCTTTACATAATAGAAGTCCGCCTTGGATCCCCCGGTTCATTGAGTTTGGTTTTATAAATCCATTTCACGCCATTTTTTTTGGCTCTTGTCTGAAGAATAGTCAAAGTCCATGTCTGATTCCTTTCAAGTTTCAATGGACTTTATTTCTTTCTCCATTGCTTGCCTCCATTTTAGGTGCTTAACTGCCTCTTGAAAACTTGTGGGATCTGAAATGACCATGACTGCAAGTTTGTCAATCTCATAATTTTCAATTCTTGCAAGATTTACCTCCTCCTCTTCATCTGAAAATGCTTCCCCTGAGGTATAATCGCTGCCCATACTGGTGGTTGTCTCACCCTACCCTCCCTTGGTGTGGCCACTTCAATTTCAGGATCATCAATATGTGGTTGAGAAGAATTTTGAGATTCATCATTGGGAAAAGACTTCAATAAGACTAAAACAAGTGCTATGAACTTAAATAGGACCTACAACTTTTTAAACCCTAAATAAGACTAATTTTGAATCGATGGGACAAAAATACCCTTAGACATCCAGCTGCCGCCAACATACGCATCCATTAAATTCTGCCTGGCGACAAACATTGGAGACCAAGGGTTTCAGACTGAGCTGAATCAAGACTGAGTATACGTAGTGCCAGTTTGGTGGAGGTAGAAGTAGTAGCAACAATGGGATTACTCTGGATGGTAAAGAGATATCGGTGTGTGATATGTTATGTTACTTGGGCTCCATAATTCATAAGGATGATGAATTAGATGGAGATGTATCCCAAAGAATCAGAGGTGTGTGGATGAAATGAAAGAGTGTATCAAGATTTGTATGCGATCGAGGTATGCCGATTAGACTGAAAGGTAAATTTTATCGAACATCAATTATGCTTGCATTAATGTATGGGGTAGAGTGTTGGGCGGTGAAACAATGTCACATTCAAAAGATGAGTGTGGTAGAGATGCGTATGTTGCGTTGGATGTGTGAACATACCAGGAAAGACCGCTTGAGGAATGAGATAATCAGGAAAAAGGTGGGAGTGACACCTATAGAAGATAAGATGCAGGAGTCTCGTTTGCGGTGGTTTGGGCATGTGCGTAGAAGACCGAGTGATGCACCTGTTAGACGACTTGAGGGGTGGGGAGAAGAGGCAGAGAGGAGAGGAAGGGGAAGACCCAAACAGACTTGGGTTAGAGAAATCAGAACTGATATGCATCTTCTTGGGTTGGATGAGAGTATGACTTTGGTTAGAGCAAAGTGGAAGGCGCACATTCGTGTGAACGATTGATCTCTTTTCTATCTTTCCTTTCTCTTTTTCTTTTATCGTCCATCTTCTTTATCTTTTTATGTTCTTATGTCATTTTTATCTTCTAGCTTTTTATGCTCTTTTATCTTTTTATCTTTTATCATTCTTTTATACTCATGTTATTGTTATCTTATAGTCCATATTTATTTATCTTTATCTTTTCCGTTTTATGTTACATTTTTTTCTTTTCTTCTTCTTGTATGTCTTCTGTTTTTTGGCATCAATATCATGGATCGATTCATGTTAGCCGACCCCAAAATCTTTTGGGATTAAGGCTTGGATGTTGTTGTTGTTGACTACTTTTGTTATCAGTGGTAGGACCCTGAAACAAGCAATTCTACTTTATTAAGCCTAAAAAGGGAGCACATATAGATATCAACAAATGAATAAAGTTAGAAAACAGGCTGAAGATATAAGGTGATGACTTATGAATTGGGCTAGAGAGGCTAGTTAAACTCGACGAGTTTCATTTCACTTCATCTAATCTCATTTTCTCAGGCATCTACCATTCTGCAGGTTGGTGTTCCCAAAATCAAGTTTTGCCAGTCATGTGGTGGGTCCATGAAGCATGAGGTTCCTGATGGGGAGGAAAAAGAGAGAGCTATATGTACTGTTTGTGGGAGGATCACTTATGAGAACCCAAAAATGGCAAGTTCAATGATGAATTTAACAGTATCTTTTTCAAATGAGTTTTATAGCTTGAAGGCATGCATTTAATTTATCATATATATTTTATTTGTTTATTCTTTAATGTAATGAGCATTGGGGTCCTTTCCCAGAGCCTCGCCATGCGAAGACGTCAATGTACATTGCGCTGCTCTTTTAATTCTTGAATGTGATGACTGATGGTGCAATTTAATTATTGATAAAGTAATGTATTCTTTTTAATCTTTTAGAGCTTTTTTTAGAGCATGTCTTTTTTTGTCTTTGTAAAGTTAACATAATCGGAAGCCGATATTTTTTTCAGTTTCATACACTTTACACACAAATGATTTAGTCATCCAAATATAGTCATGCTTTTGCACCAGTAAGATTCTGTACTTATTGTTGTACTGACAATACATCAGAAAGGAATTCTACTCTGTGTTGAGGACTTGAGGTTTTAGAAAAATGAGTTTTATATAATTAAAATATGCTTTTCAAATAATGCAGGTTGTTGGCTGCCTTATTGAACATGATAACAAGGTACTATTGTGCAAACGGAATATTCAACCATCACATGGCCTTTGGTATGCATTTAGAAGCCATAATGTTATTAAAGAGTTGTAGAAAATTTTTGTGGCCTAACATTGTCGAGAAATAGGAAAGTTAAGGAAGCGCCGAAGCGGAAGAAAATATCAAACTATTTTTTATATATATTATCAACTGTCATCATCATCATTACCCCAGTGCCGCAAAGGCTCCCACCTACGGTGGGGTAAGCGGGGGTCGGATGTACGCAGTCTTACCCCTGTATTAAAGCACAAAGAGACTATTTTCGAATGATCCATAGTGAAAATCGCGTAAAAAAATACATGGACTGACTGTTGCTTCACAATTAAGAAACACAGACAGTTTAGTGAGCCATTTTGCTTTATTCCATCATATATTATCAACTGTGTCGGTCCATAAAAAAAGCCATACTTGAAAGTTGAAAGCTTATTGTTCTCCCCAAAAAGAGTCTTATTTAAACATTTGAAGCTAATTTTCAGTATATGTAATGAATTTGCTTAATGACCTAAACAAGTTAAGTATGCTGGTTTAGTTAAACCAACACATGAATTTAGAAATATCACCAGAATTGATGATTTCCAATAGTTTTACCTTTAAGGTTAAAAAGTTGTACATTGATGAAACATGACAGTCTTCGGTAAGGGGTACTATATAATTTATCGCTTCTCACTAATTTTTGTCAAATAATCTTAAAAATATACACATAGCTCATACAATCATAGACAAACCTAAATCATGCTTGTAAATAGTGTTATGTTGATGTTTCATATTAATCCAGGACACTTCCTGCCGGTTACTTGGAGATGGGGGAAGCTACAGTAGAAGGGGCAATGAGAGAAACCTGGGAAGAGGCAGGGGCAGAAGTTCAAATTATTGCTCCTTTTGCTCAGTTGGACATTCCTCTTATTGGCCAAGTAAGTGAAGGATCTAGAAACTCCGATTTTCTCTGGTTTATTTGGACTTTCCGTATATTAATCCCCGTCTGGTGACCATAATCAACTTATTCTGGATATTGGAAAAATAAACATAACAATCATAATAAGCAGCTTTTTGACTTATTTAGTTGATGAAAACCAAAATGGATGTCTGTGATCTCCCTTTCAAAAAATTCAGCAGACTCAGACATTTCTCCCAAACAGCTCTCCGCAAAGTGGTCCGCCTAAGTGTATAATTGATTTTTTTTTTGCATATTCCTACAGACCTACATAATTTTCTATGCCAAGTTGAAGAGGCCTCATTTTTCACCTGGTCCAGAATCATCTGAGTGTCGTCTGTTTGAACTTGGAGAGATTCCTTTTGAATCTTTGGCTTTCTCATCCATGTTGGTCACTTTGGAGTTGGTATGTTGCACACGTATAATTATGTGCTTACCTTTTTACTGTCGAGGTCTCTCGAACAATGATTTTTTATAAATATCATGTGCTTGTAGTTCATTGAAGATAGAAAAGTTGGAAAACCCATGTTTCACTATGGCATCATTAACAAGAGGTACTCACTAACCATTTTGAATATTTTATGATGGGGTTCAGTTAGATGTAGTTCGATAGGACGAATTATAATAATGTAATCAAATGAATTTGTAATGTTAATTTACACTAAAATATACTCATTATACGTAGTACTATGGAGTACATGTTATTACAGCAGTGATGGAGGCAACACTTTGGTGTGAGATGGGGTAAGATAAAAAAAATAATCCATTCATATTCATATAAACTTAACAATAAAATAAGCTTGCAAAAAAATCAATTGAATTGAAAAAAGTTTGATCTAAATAGGAGTAAAAACTGTGTGGAATTCCAAAATAGCTACACTGTGTTTTTATTCCCTAAATATGAGTAATTACTGCTATACTTGAAAAATATTGCCAAGCATGGCAGTAATACTGTCATATTAAAGCATGATAATGCTAAAATATGACAATAAAACTTCAGGATTGGAGTAAGTTATTCTATTTAGGGAATAAAGGTATAGTACTTCTGTTTTGGTATTTTACATTGTTTTCTTATTTTGGGAATTTTCACAATTCTCTTTTTTTAGTTTCTCGGGCTTGAAAATATACATATACATGTCATAAAGTAGGGTAAATAGACCAACTTGAGAGGGCTGTGGCTCGCTCAATGTTGGATTTTAATCGGTCAATCATGGTCGTTTACGCATGCATGCATTGGAGTTTTATGGTTTTAATTATGTGTTACGTAGTAGTTACTATTTTATTATTTTATTTAGTATTTGTTTGACCAATTTAATTGGAGTGCATAGGAGAGTGGGTAGAAAGTGGTGGTTAAGCATTTTCTTTATTTCCTATTTTCTAGTTGTGCATGTTGCTCACGTAGGATGTTTTGTAAGGCTATATATGCCTCATGTTTCTTTGAATTAATTAAGATGAAGCATTATTTAGTTTCTCTTATTCTTCTCCCTACAATTCCTTCGTCAATCACATGCTAATTTTTTGATCCATCTCCACTCAAGCACTTATCAATATACACGAAGCATATTTATTTATATTTATTAGCTTCTGATTCTCAACACTCAAGCCCCTTAACTTTGCCAGTCTGTTACGGCCGACCAAGATGCACTTAATAATTTCATGAAGAAAACAATCAACAGTGGTTGGGTTCAAACCTTTCCAACCACACAAAATAAACTTTATTTTGTTAAAATTTCCATATTATTGTAAGAACAATGTTACAGCAAAACAATGGTTGTTGATAGGCCTGGCACAAGTCCATCTGAGATTCGTGCATACACCCTTGATCATCACTTTCGGCGTTGAGGGATGGAGATTCATCAACACCCTTGTTTCATTATGTGCTGCAAACCACTCTCCAGGGACAACATTCAAGATGCCCTTCAATATAATGGCTTATACTCTTCGGTTAAAGGAAAACCAGTGGATTCATTTTTACCTTCTTCAATGTGGAATGTAGTGCCAATCTGCTTAGATCAGTGGCCGAAAGCCTGTTTGGTGATGTAATTTTGGATGGAATTGGTGGTAGGGACGGACTGGATTTGTTAATAGTTGGGTTGAAATGGCTATTTTTGCTGTGAGTTGAAATGTTTAAGAATTGTATTTTTAATAAGTAAACGAAAATTCTATTCAATGTAAACGTTTCTATTTGGTAGACAACGAAAAATTTATAATTCATGTGTGATAGAGTATTAACTCCTAAATTCTAGAGAGAAGTGAGAGCTAGAGAGAGAAGTGCAATAATATGCTTCAATAGAATGATTTTGTAACCTCTATAACTACTCCCAAGGGGAGTATTTATAGAGAAAATTAGGGTTGGGCTCCCAAGCCTTGGGCTTGGGAGGCCCATCTACAACTGGACCGCTACTGGGCCGAATACAAAGCCTCTAATGGGCTGTACAAATGAGTAAGTATAGGATCCGATTCTGGGAGGTCCTCGTGGCCGACGAGGGCACGGCTGACGAGGGCACGGCCGACGAGGGCGCCCGGGTTCCTTGGACTCAGGACCATGATCCGAGTTGGCTTCTTCTCGGCCGACGGGGGCGTCTTGGCCGACGAGGGCGCCACTCTGTTGTCTTGTGCTCGGTTCTTCCGAGTATGTGGGTCCTGGGGCTCAGACCCATATACTCCATCAGGAGTCCCCCACTCTCTAAGCTGAGATGTAGACGAAGTGAAGGAGAGTAGATTTCTGTGCTTTGTTGCTTTTGGCCGACGCGGGCATTTCCAGGCCGTTAGCCGTTGCGGCGTTGGCGTTGTTTCCTCTTTGGTGATCCTGTTCCTCGCTGTGGGCGGGGAGGCCGTTGTCTCCTTAATTTGTTTTGGGACGATGAGTGTCCTTTTTTCAATGGTGGCCGTTGAAGGCGCGCTTTCCCTTTCCTGGCCGTTGGTGGTTGAAGTTTATGTTTGGGCCGGTGAAGCCGTTGAGGTTGTTCCTTGCTTTGAGGACGATGGCCTCATCTCCTTTGTGTGGCCGATGAGGGTGTTTGCGCACTCCTTTTGGCCGTTGCTGGTTGGCCTTCGTGTTTTTGGCCGAAGAGCCCGTCAAGATTAATTGTTGGCGGAGGACGATGAGTGTCCTTGCCTCTAGTGGCTTGTTGGCCGTTGCTAGTGACGTTATGGGCCTTTGGCCGATGAAGTTCTGTTGTGCTGTATGGATGATGTGGCCATGCTTTGTGGTTACCTTATTCGCACTCTTTTGTTTTGTTGAGGCCGGTGTAGTCCCCCAGTCCCCCACTGCTTCAGGCCGAAGAGTGTGAGGGGTGAAGGAGTTGTTTGAGTCCCTGGCCGAAGCGGTCTCGCCGTAGTCCCCCTGAATCCAACTCTCATGGCGATTTTCTGGCCAAGGTAACCCTGTGGGAGAACCCTTGTGCGCAGATCGCTTGTAGAGAGTTATCATCAAGGGTTATTACGAGGAGCCGAAGGCTGTGGGCTATTTGTCCCCTTTGTTCTGTGGCCGTTACGTTCCTGGCCGTTGCCATCTTCTTATTGTTTGGCATTTGTGATATTGGTGAGCAAGTGGGACGTTGTGGGCGCTTGCCGGCAGTTGTAAAGCCGTTGAGCGTGTGTAGGCCGTAGAGTCTGATTTGCCAGTGGTCCGTTGATGTGGCTTGGGCCTGGCTCGTTGGTGTCGTGGTGGCCTCCCATTGGTGGCCGTTGATGTGGCCATTGGGAGAGTGCCACGTGTAGTGACCGTTGGTGGGGGGGGGGGCCTATAAATACCCCGTCCCCTCCGACGAGGAATCACATTTGCATTCTGAATTTGTCGAAGTGCTGGCCGATTTTCTAGAGAGATAAACTCCCAAGCCTGTTCTTCGTGTTCTTCGTTGTTTGAGGTTAGTGTTCATCACGATTTTCCTCACTTTTCATACTTTGCTCCGTAAGTAGTTGATCTAGTGTTAGGCGTTTAGACACCTTTAGATCGTAAGTTGTTCTCCTTAAGTCCGTAGTAGTAGTAATGAAGAGCTTGAACGAGGACTACTACCCCTACGACGACCAGCCCTCCACGAGGTCCCTTGACTACGAGGTGCTCGAGAAGTTTGAAGAGGAGATAGAGCGTTTGAGCCCTTACAAATCCGGAGAGCTGATGGACGAGGAAGGCGAGGACGAGGAGTCCGCCTCCTCTTCAGAGGGTGAGGACGTAGGCGCGTCCCGAGCGGTGGACGGGGCGTCCACTTCTGCTGCCGTTCCGTGCCCGAGGCCGGTATCTGCCGTGAAGGGCGACGCTAAGCCGAAGAGGGTGAGGAGGCCGGAGAATGGGCCGGGCCTCTCCTACTTGGACCTCACCAACATATTCCTGATCAAGCCGGAGAGCAGTGCGGCCGACTATCTTGTCGCCCAGATGTACGTGGGGCCGTTCGGGCGGGTTAGGGCACCCAGGCCGATGGACCATGTTCTACTTCCGCCACCGGGATACTTCGGAGTATACCCGATGAGTTTTGCTAAGGGGTTGAGGTTCCCCCTTCACCCTTTCGTCACGGAGTATCTGGACATGGTGGGGCTTCCTCCGGCCTTGCTGACGCCGAACAGTTATTCCTTGATAGTGGGCTTCTTGCTTCGGTGTGAGGAGTTGGGCTACAGGCCGACCACGGCCTTATTCATGAACTTGTACCAGATCGGCCGAGGAAGCCACAAGAACTGTGCGGCCTATGCTACTCTTCAACAGCTGCCGAGGAAGAGGAGCTTCACGGATTTGCCTACGTCCATTCATGGGTGGAAGAGCAAGTTCGTGTTTGTGTCCATTGGTGAGAGTGGCACCGAGTTCCCCTCCCTCGGCCATACCGGGAGGTTCAATCTTCATGACCCGCCGAAGAGCTCTATTTTGGATGCTCAGGTGGAGGCTTTCCTGGAAGGGGGGCCGAGGAGCGTGAAAGATTACGTCACTGAATACAAGATGACGGTCCTCGGCTTCTTCAGATATCACTTGTATGGAGATAAGGAGGATGACCTCCAACTCTGGCCGAGGATGACCACCACCTTTGAGGAGGCCGATGGCCCGGATTTGGGCATTCCTGCTGAGGCCGATGGTAATTTTTCTTCGGCTTTCTGTCTTTACGTTTTGTCCTTTGCCTTACTAATCTGTTTGTTTTTCCTTTGTAGACTTTGTCATGGACCGGCGTTCCATAATGGCCGTTGCTAAGGCCAAGGCAGCCGAAGAGCTGGCTGCTAAGGCGGCCGAGGCGGCCCGACGTGCCGCTGCTGGTGGGAGCGGGGCTACTGCTGACGCGGCCCCAAAGCCTGCCCCGTCCAAGAAAAAGAGGCCGGCCACTGACGGCCAGAAAAAGTTGACCGAGGCCGGCGTGAGCGTCTCTAAGAAGACGAAGAGGGCTCCTTCCCCTTCTCCGGCCAGTGAGGCCGGTACGCTTACTGTCCCCAGCGTGGGCGATGGTGGTCCCGTCGTGGACCTTACTGTTGCTGATGATGCCGCCCCAACGCTTCCTCTCGTCCAGGAACCACGGACGCAGAGGGCCGGCAAGGAGATTGCCGGTGCCACCTATCAGAAAGTGATAGAGTACCCCGTCGGCGGGGGCGTGTTTAATGAGCTCGTCCCCGGCCACGTCGTCCTGGCCAAGGCCATGCCGGCCAAAGATCGGGCTCATCTGAAGAAGCTCGAGGACCCGAAGATTTATGAGGGCGGCATGGATCTCCTCGTCCAAGTAAGTGACCGTCCTTATATTTTTGTCTCCCTTCGTCTATGTAGAGATTGTGGCCTGACCTTTGTTTTCCTTCTGCAGAGTGCCTTCATGCTTATGGAAAGCCATAAGAGGCAGTACTGGGAGATAGTCCGCCTGCAAGCGCTGGAGAAGAAGGCTGCCTCGGCCGACGAGGCGGTAGCTTGCCTTGACCGGCTCCGGGAGGATGCCAAGGCGCTGCAGGCCAAAGCTGATGAGGCCGTCGCGGCCAGGGACGTTGCCCTGGTCAAGCTCGAAGAGAGCAAAAGGGAGCTCGCGGAGTCCCATAGGGCACTTGAGGCCGAGAAGCGCAAGAGCGAGGAGGCTGCCAAGGCGAAGGCTGAGGCCGAGGCCGCCGTCCTGAAGGCCGCCGATGAGGCCGTCGAGAAGTTCTTGGCCGAGGGGTGGAAGGCCGATGAGAGGCTCCCCTGGTGCTACGAAGTGGTGGCCGCCAGGCTGGAGAGTTGGGGGATGAACTCCCCTGCCGGCCAGGAGTATTTCAGCCGGGAAATGTCCGTTTACTACAACCTGGGCCAGGAGCGGATGCAAAGGCTCCTGTGTCGGCGACTATCCCGGGCGTTGAAGGCCATGAATTACACGTCTGGATGGGCTAGACGGAACCTGAAGCTGCCAAAGCTGATGAAGGATCCCGAAGAGCAGGCCAAGCTTCCGCTGTCGGAGCGGGAGTCCCCCATAGAAAGCTCCGGCCTCGGCGAGCCGGACTACACTGAGTTCGACTTCCTTGATGATGCTACCAATGCTGCACCTCATGCCGGCCAAGAAGCTGAGGACGAAGAGGGAGCTGATGAGGCCGATGAGGCGGCCGCAGATGGAGGTGCCCCCGAAGCTTGAGTGGCCATTTTTTGTAATTAGCTTTTCAATTTTTTGCCAAGTGATGTAACGGCCGTAGTGCCCCCCAATTGTAATGAAATTTATCAATTGAAGAAATTTTTGTTGTCCTTTTCGGCCTTGAATCCTTTGTGTGCTTGTTTGCTTTGTCATTTCAATTCTGTAATTTGTCTAAGTATCAAGTCATAACTTGGGTCACCCGCGAGTGTCCGCTACGTCCGTGAGGTTGGCCTTCCCGTCCAGTAGTCTGGTCGGCCTATGCCTCTTTGATTTACTGTCATAACACTTAGGAAAAAATTCCCCAAGTGTTTTTGGGTCCATGTAGCTCCTGGCTTTACGGCCTAGTGACCTGATCGGCTTGGACGTAGTTTCATAACACTTAGGAATTTTTCAAAAATTGTCTAAGTGTTTTGGGATCCACTTAGGTGCTTTCCTTTCGGCCTGGTGGCCTGGTCGGCTTGACCGGTGTTCCTTTGCCATCATGACACTTAGGATTTTTTTCACACAATTTCCTAAGTGTTTTTGATTCCTTTTAGGTGCTTCCCTTTTTAGCCCTGACCACAGTGTCCGTTCCGTCCAGGCGTTGGCGTCTTTATCGTCCTGGCCTTGGATTCATCCCAGGTGTTTTAGCCAGGGTCGTTGTCGGCTTGTATCCCTGTGTTCTGGCCGATAAGGGCACCTTCACC